GGTGTTGGTAAGCTCGGGCCAAATTGGGAAGGACCCTACATAGTAAAGCGGGTACTTGGGGAAGGAACGTATGAACTTGAAACCCTAGAAGGGAAGCAGGTACCTCGGGCATGGAATATTGTCAACCTAAGGCAATATTACCTATAATTACCAAGCTGAGTGGACCACAAGTCGCTCCTCAAGCCTAAGGGCCAAAGTGCCGAGCTAAACCTCGACACTACAAGACCCAATCACCTTCTTGGCATGGGAAAACTCCAAAAGTGAGTGGACCACGAGTCACTCTTCGAAACTAAGGGCCAAAGTGCCAAGCTAAACCTCGACACTATAAGACCCAGTCGCCTCCTTGGCATGGGCGAACTTCAGAAGTGAGTGGACCACAAGTCATTCCTCGAGCCTAAGGGCCAAAGCGCCGAGCTAATAAAAGAACCTCGGCACTATATAAGACCCAGTCACCTCTTTGGCATGGGCGAGCTCTAGAGAGTCGACTATAAGTCACTCCCTTAGCCTAAGGGCTAAAATACCAAGCTAACAAAGGACCTCAGCACCATCAAAGACCTAGTCGCCTCTTTGGCATAGGCGAAGTGCTAAGGCACACCTAGCTTGGGTATGGATACTTGTAATGGTTGTTACGGCATGTAGCTTGTGTGCAGACAGGTCGGGCATATACCCTACAATGTCGCTCACTTCAGCAACTTACTCCTAAGTACGGGGTGGCAGTTCGGGGTAACAGCTAACAAACCCCTACCTTGGTCACCTAGCTCGACAGTTCGGAAAAATTACATAATCATGATAAAAAAGGAGGTAATTGCTCGACTAAAGAAACTGCAACTGTAAAAGGAGTGGGCTCTGAGGGCACCTCGGGTGCATAAGGGCTTCTCTCCGGCTCCTCGGCCAGGTCGATCACTTGAGGAGCGCTTGGAGGTTGTACGGGCTCGGGAGTAGGGGACCGTGGAGATTCGACGCGAGCTCTTTTAGCAGCCCGCTTCTTCCCCTTCATCTTTCCGAAGAGCCTGTCCCCGCTGAGTTGCTGCATGGGGCCTGCAATAAAGCTYGACAATAGCAATACTACCAAGAAGAAATATCAGTTACTGAGGTAAAATACTAACTCTAAACCAAGGCGACCTACCAGGACTCAAGCTGGCATGTATGAGCTTATCCTCGACAATGTAATCCTTGTAGTTGAGGCCGACCTCCGCCCAACAGTGGAGCCTCTCCCTTGTTTTCAGGTCCAGCCTAATGCTGGAGTCCTGAACAGCTGCCTTCCAATGAGTTGGGAAAGGCCATCCCATAGGATTGCGGACTACAAAATAATCCCGCTTCCAGGCTGGGATTTACTAGGGAGGCCGTGTAATAGTTTATAGCCCGAGCGAGGGGACAGGTAATAGGTCCGCCTATGCTCAGGAAGGACACAAGAAGCATTCTTCTTTATTGACAAAATGGACGAGAAAATGTCGAGGTCAAGGGGCAGGGCATAGTCAAAGCAAAGAGAAGTTGTCCCGACCACATTCCGGATGGAGTTCGGGTGGAGTTGGACTATGGTGACATCGAAGTGCTTCAAAACTTCTATGATTAGGGGGTGTAAAGGAAGACGGAGTCCAGCCGCAAGCTGTTCTTCGAAGATCATGATCTCATCATGATCATGTTCCCAAGGGAAGTTGCCCGCGAGAAGGTTATAGGTATACTCCCTCGGAAGGTTGTACTTGTGTATTAAGGCCCTAAGTCTATCTACGGCCATAGTTGAGGGACCAAACTTGTTCGGCACCCGACCTCGAGAAGAGGTGGATGCCGGGTTATCTGAGGCCTCCCGTGCCTCATAAGAGGATTGCACCTCGGAAAGGCCCACTTGAGCCGAGGTACCCACCTTGGGCTCATCTAGAAGGCTATCGAAACTACTATTTGACATGACTATGGAATTGAAACGAACTGAAAAGAGAAGCTAGGGAGACTCACCAAGGAGGGAGACGAACTGGAAGACTGACGAACTAGAAAACCCGAGCTGAAGACTCTAACCGCGACCTCAAGGCGAATGCTAGTGAACATATGGTAGAGAAAATGACTCGGGTCCCCCCTATTTATAGCTGCAAGGTCAGGGGATCAACGGTCGAGATCAATGAGATTTGGCGGTTCCTGAGAAAACCGGTTGTACGATCCTCGAGGTCAAAATCCATTTATCACATTTTTTGGCGTCCGCGGAGTCTATAGATCGCGTGACGTCCACACGTAAACCGCACGCGACCTGGGTTATTCTTGGTTGAGCCGAGCAACCGAACTGGTCCGACCAACGAACTGTCTGACTGGACGGCCTGAACCTCGAGCCAAATCCACTCGTCACGCTGTGAACTCCCCGCACCAGGTCAGGACCCCTGGCCCGGGGAGTGGGGAGCAATTGATGGAGGGTGATTTGGCCCGACCTCGTAACGAGGGGACATGTGGACGTGACTCGACATAAGTGACAACTCAGCATAACAAGCTCGCTATAACCTAGTCTGACAGCTCACCATGAATGGTAGCTCGCTACAAGATAATACTCCGTGTAAGGTAGAAGCACCTCGGCGCATCACCAACGGTTCGGTGTAAGGTAGCTCGCTGTAGAGTAACTCGGCGTATCACGGGGAATTTTCTGTCTGACAACCGTACCTGCCAAACCTGGAGACTGCACCCATGTCTCTCGCCTGACGGCGTCGTACCTGCCAACCCTGGAGGTTGGCGGGACCGTACTCTGCAGCGATCACCTTTGCCTGGCAGCCCATCTCTAACAAATAACGGCCAACCACTCCAAGCCGTTATCTGACAGCAGATCACCGCAGCAGGGATTCAGTGGCGGTTGCACCTGACATGTCAGGATACTGGTATATAAGGACCCCGACCCCCAGAGGCGAAGGTATTGCGTGATCATCACTCTTAGCTCTTTAATTTCTCTACAACTCTCTCTCTCTCTCCGAACTTTCAGTCTGGTTACTAACTTAACCATCGGAGTGTTCCCGCCGGGTGAGCCCCTAGGGTTCCTTCATCTTCTTTCTCACAGGTATCTCTCGTTCGTCGCCAGTTAGGAGCGCAACAATTTCCAGCTAGGAGTGACCAGATCGTGCACCATCAGTAAGTAAAGTTACATCCATTAAATAATAATAGAACATTTAAGGCATCTTAAAAAAGACAAATAAATTAAATGATAGGTGTAAAACCCATTGCCATAAACACCTCTTCTTCCTTTTCTTGCTTTTGATTTCAATGCAAGTAAAATGTTCCTAAAGTTAGGTTGATTAGCTATCCAGTCCACCCTCTTGTTTGTAGTCGTAAACTTTTCTCTTTATGGACTCTTGAACATGGGTTGATGGTTTGTAGTATTTTGCAAAAGTTTTTTGTATTTCTAAATGAAACTTTTCACATACTCTAGTACTAAACTAGAGAGGTTAGAGTTAATTCTCCTTTTCTCACTATATTCTCTCCTTTTTCCGAATAATGATTCTATGGATAAGAGTAAAATGAATAGAGGTTCTTTTCTCTTAGAAGATAGCTAAAAGAAGGGACCCTATCCACTTATTTAGTAGGTAGTTCCCCCCATTAAGGAACTCCTATAACAGTCTATAAGAATCAACCACTCTCCTACTAGTTCAACTACTCTCCACTTATCCTCATTTACCTAAATTCAATTTTAAATTTAAAAATAAGATAAACATAAGTGGGTGAGAGATATTAGGGCCTTATGATTTTCACTTAACCAAATATGAGTTTTTATAAACAACCCCATGACCATAACAATGGGCCATGAATTTATGAATCTCACACTCTAACAGGCTAATTGCAGAATCATGTGATCCATTCTTGTGTACCTTTTCTTATTGTATGTATGATAGTTCCTTTTCATTTTCTCCTTTTTGTTGATATAAATACATAAAGGAACAAAACAAAAGAAATTAATTTACATTTGCAGAGTTTGTCTGAGTCGAAGCCGAACAAGTAAATATACAAAAGTGTAGACAGCTGCTTACTACCACACAGAGAATGGCCAACAAGATTCTTTCTCATTAAAGTTTGTGAAACACTGTTTTTTTTTTTTTTTTTAATTTAATTTAGATGGATTGGCTAGCTTCGCCTCCACCGCTCTGCGCTCTGGGTTGTTCTTTCGATCGTTGGCACCACTAAGAATAATTAGATATATACAGGGTTTTTTACTTTGAACTTATAAGGTTTATAATTGGTGCTTAGGCTCAATTTGGAAGGAGTATAAATAGAAATATGTAGAGTATAAACCCTGTATTTTATATTATTTTATATGCATTTGTATTGTGTATATTTGTATTTATATTCTATCTAAACTAAGTCTATGACTCAATTTGGAAAAAGTATAAATATAAATATATATATATATATATATATATATATATAATACAAATACATATAAAATAATACAAAATGTAGGGTTTTGCACTGTACATATTTATATTTGTATTCCTTATGGCTCAGTTTAAAGAAATATGTAGAGTATAAATATATATAAAAAAAATAAAGTATAAAATTTTACACGCTACATATTTGTATTTATACTCTTTCTAAACTGAGCTGAAGAAAGAGTATAAATACATACATATACAGTTTAAATACATATAAAATAATACAGATTAAATAAAAGGTTTTACAATGTACATATTTATATTTGTATTCCTTCCAAACTGAGCTTTAATTAAACCCAATAGGGAAATTAAACGTGTAACCCGGCAAATGGTCCCCTACTGCTGGCCACCGTCTAGCGTGTTAACCTAGCTCGGGAGTGGATAATGGATATCAGGATATGCATAAAGTGCAGGTTGAATCGGATGAGCAGGCAACGCAACGGCAACTGTTGGACCAGCCAATCACAGGACGTCGTGGCCGCCGCAGATTTGGCCTGTTTGGCTTTCATTGTTGAATGTTGAAGCCACCACCCACCAATTGAACCCAGTTGACGCAGCACTCCCCTATTCCCTTTAATTTTCTGAGTTCCATCTAATACAACATCCAAATTAAACAAATTCCACTTCTGATATATCTATCATCAGAGTTCCAATTAATTTCCTATCAATTTCTTCTATGAATCTCCTCATGCTCATGGTGGATGACTTCTCTTTTTCAGGGAACTTCATGTAACATATACAGTAAGATGTACAGAAGAGTCTACGCACCGCGCTGCAGTCAGGAGTCTGTCTCATCAAGACAAATCAACGCCGGTGTCGAGTTGAGGGCCGACGTATTGTGCCCCGGTAACCACTAGATCATTAGGCAAATCTATCTCCTTCAATATTACATAACCTAAGCCAAATAAATAAATAAATTTAAGAATATAATAAATTAATATTTACTCCTCTTATAACTGGATCACCAGTGATACTAATTAATATATACAGGCTTTAATTTGTTTGCTTAAATGGGTCTACCGGAACCGGCCGATTTCATGTGTAAACGTACCGGGAAGAGAGGGAATAGGGATTTCTGAGAAGTAAGTCGACGGCCTCCCGAACTCGTCGGAGTACGGCGGAGACAAGACGTCCAAGATGGCGCAGGGAGTCAAGGCAGTGAAGGAATGTATGTTTCCGCCACTCTTGGGAAATAGAACGGAAGCTTCTCTGGGAGCTTTAATGACGCCGTCCGTCACCGTACTCGCTAACCCAACTACACCCACAAGTTATAGAAGGAGAATGAGCAGACATGAACATTTACACAGATCGATGTAGTTGTCTAAGAACAACTTACTTTCATGAGTTCATCGATCCGATCGTTAATAAGGACTTACCCATTCTTGAACTAGCAGTCCGTGCTTTCACCCAATCGTAAGATTTGACATGGACGGATCCATACAGAACCTTACTAAGCACCGTCATTCCGGGGTGGTCGTGCAGAGGCAACTTGCCTCCCGCCGGGAAGCAAAACACGCCAATCTGCTAATACAAGACAGACACGAAGCATCGTTCATATGTATTTGATTATTGTGTACTGTCACAATAGAGATGACGAGAAGAGGAAGATAATTCTTTTCTAGTTTTCTCTATGGTTATCTCTCGTCGGAGATGAGCCCCGCCGGCCATATATATATACATACCGAGAAATCATCTGATTGGTAGATGTGAATGTAGGTTATCTCCGTAACTGTTAGCCCACAAATCAGTTCCTTTCTAGCGTTCGGGCTGGAAGGATCAATCCATGAACGCGGAGATCCTTCTGAGTTGAATTCATCAATTCCTACGTCTATGGCTTCTATTCTGTCTGCATTATTGAATTAAGAAAATGTTAGAGCTGGAAGCAGCAAGAGAAGAAAAAGGAGATGATGAAAAAGAAAAGGGGGAGTCCAAGGAAATGGTCATGGTACCCAAGAAATTTCTCAACCACTGAATCTTTTGGAAGGTTGGTGGCTCTCTGTCTGAGAAGACCCGAGTACAGGCATCGTAAAGGCATTGTATCTTGCTTCTCTCCATTGTAAAATTAGTCCAATAAGGACCAAAAGACCAGTAGAAAAAAAATGGGGGCCGGTATGGCTGTATATATCTATCCTTGTAAGTTGTAACCGCTAAGAGAGGAGTCGGTTGTTGTTAATGCAAACAATGTCAATGAAACCAGCGGGCTCTCTTGAGTATTGACTTTGCTATACTATGTGCTTGTCCTTGGTTACTTGAATTGTTTTCTCTAGGCGACGCAGACCATAATTTTTTTTTTTTTAATTTCACTTTAGAAAAATGAAACCGATTACTAAACAATTAGCTTATCTAACAATGCACGTACCCCCCTAGCCTTATGTTATGGCGAGGCAGAATGACCAGAATGACCTCAGGTCCCTCTTCGAAACAACGGCTGTTGTTTCCTGTTTCAACCATGAACAGTAATGCCCAATTTGATTTAAATAAAGAAAAGTGAAAAGAGAACTCCTCAACTTATCTGGTATCTTTTCACCTACAAGATAATTTATTCCCGTTCACACTTTGTTAGCTCAATTTTTGTCCGTTTCAGACCACCACATGGATGCCATGATTGTGATAAAGGTTGGGAACTAGAAATTAACTAGAAACCCTCCACCTAAGTATTCCTCACCCGGCCCGCTGGCGATTAGACGTTTTAGGGATCAATCTGCAAACAGTGAGAAAATTTCCGTTCATGGCTATCCTGTGGAGGATTTAATAAGAGACTTGGACCAACCGGGTTAAGACGATCAGGATTTAGGGAGGTAATGGTCGTTGGTGGTGATGAACATGTGACGTGTGTGTTTGCTAGAGTGAAGATCAGGTTATGTAGAGGAAGTAATTGAGCTGACTGGGGAACGTCCAACGACACATTCTTCTCTAGTACGTTTTTTTTTTTTTAAAAAAAAAATTTGAATAAAACGGGTCATTTATAAGGCTTATTCTTCGAATTTTAAATTCCACAAACCAGTTTTATTTGTCCAATACAATTAGCGTCTTATTTTCTGGGCCTGGAGCCCCAACCCGCGTCCACGGATAGCCCTCAAACGTCAAAGCAGGTTTAAGTAACCGTGTTAGTTAATTAGTGGGTGTTTGGCACGGGAACGTTTTATTTTGTTTTTAGAATAAAAAAATCATATTTTGATAGATTGTTTTTCAAAAAAATGCTTTTGCAATTATTAACTCCAGGATTTGAGAAAGGAAGAACTTGTTGAAACCTCAAATTAACGTTTCTTGAATTATCTTGGTGATGTTAAATTGTTAAGGTGATGTGTCATATTGAAATTTTAAAAAGCTAAATTTTTGCTGAGATGTGATACAGTTGTTATTATAAATGTATTATAATAATAAGTCAAATTATTTTAAGTATCCCGTTTTGCCTGTATCTTGATTTTTTTTTGTATTTTTCAAAAACAGGTGAAACAAAACACTTGTGAATCGAAACCTACTCGTAAAATGGTATGCTTATAAAACATTTCAATACCAAACACCCACTTCATTTTTTGACAGAAACAGGTCTTTATTCTTTTATTCTACTATAAAAAATGTTCCACTATGATGCCGGAAAACATAATACCGAAAACATTTATAACCAATCAACAGATATCATAAAAATGATTAAGATAACCAATCAATTCGATTTTTAATCAGAATTTACTGGGGTTTTGATATTGGTTAAAGCCTTTCTGGCATAATAGATTTTCCTTGCAAAATAACTTCTTTTTGGATAAATTAGAGTTACTTTTACGTTACGCCATCAGTAGGGAAAGGGGAGGGAGTCTTTGGTGGTGGTGACGGACGGATAGTAGATGAAAATTATTATAATGGGAGGTACACTGAAAGTGATAAATGAGAATGAGGCTCCACTTGTTTGCAGTACATAATTCTAATGCAAATTTTACATCAGTTTCGGATTTGAATTTGTTTGTTCATAACTAGGATTTGTGCTTCCATTTGATGCAAATTTTGCACTATATATCTTCCCCCTTTCTTGATTCTGAAGTGGGGATCATGACACTATTTTATTTTTTTTCAAACAAATAATCTCCCACTTTAACTCTCTTTCATATAAAATGGGGACCATGCCATTTTACTTCTAATTCTAATTCTGCTCCTATAAATAAACAAAACAAAATACAAGCTGAAAAGAAGTCATACCAGAATTTGAACTCAACTTATTTACATCCGGTACATTTGCACAAATGCAGAAAGAAACTTATATATGCTGCTAACAACAAAGGCTAATAAAGAATGGTGCAATGTTGGCAATATTGGAGACTTGGGGGCAATTGCTACATCATTTGGTTGCAGCACAAATCTTCATCGGGTGCAGAAAATGCACCTGGTTCAGTTTTGTTTTCAAATGTTTGTAAATATTATTTTCATTGTTACCTGCTATAAGACTTGTAACTTTTTTGCAATCACTTGCAATGCAAATCATGGTTTTAAAAACCAGCTCGGTTAATCAAATCATTGCACCCTTTTTGTAAATCGAACCGGTGGTATCAGTTTTTCCAATTTTTTAAACTGAAACCGAACTGGTACTACTAGTAAACCAGTCCACCAGTTTCGGTTTTTGATCGGTTTGGTTCTTCAGTTTTTTGGTTTTTTATATTTATAATATATATTATACAAATATTATAATATTATATTATAAGTAATAAATGATATATAATATATTTATAAATAGATCATTATAAATATAATATAAGTATATATTTATATATAATACATAGAAAATATGACATAAATTAAAAATATATATAAAATATACATAAAAATATATATACAGGTCGGTTCGGTTAACCGTCAGTTTTTTTGTAGGTTAATCGAAAACCAAACCGGTCCTTTGGTTTTTAAAAAATCCTGAACCAAAACCAAACCGATTGGTTTAGTTAATCGCATTTTGCGGTTCAGTTTTCTCAGTTTTTCGGTTTCTCATGGACACCCCTACCAGCCTGGACTGGACGGTTGGACTGATTAACTTGGGAATTGGTTAGGCAACCGGTTCCATTTCACCCTAAAACCATTCCTGGGCGAAAAATTTTTGATTTGGTCAATGACTTGGTGACCTGGGTGGTCGAACCGTCAACTCGGACAATAAATTTTTATCGCTTTTTATTTTAATTTTTAAATTTTAATTCAGAATAAGCTATCCATTCGAACCAGATGGTTGAACCATTTGACCTAGGAACTGGTGGCCAAAACAGTTCCATGTTTAGTCCAGTTTTTATAACCTTGATATAAACTGCAAATTTTGCATCCCAAAAACTGACACAAATTTTATACCACCTTCATCTTGCCCAAATTCTTTCTCATATAAAGTGGGTACTATACATCTTGCATCTCTTGGAAATACATAACCATTTACCTCCATTCTCTTTCATAGGTGAAAGTCACTTCATTTTTCTCACAGGAAATAATACAATGTCAAACATAAAGCAATAGTAAACCAGAATTTACACTCAGCCCTTTTGCAATTCCATGCATTTACACTAGTGCAAATTAAATTTGTACTGTAATGCAAAGTACCGACCAACTGGTTTGGTAAGATCTCTGCGGAGACTTGAGATCAACCAAATACAACCTTAAAGGCTTTTGAAGGTCATATCTCAAGCTTATTAGGCAGACCACCATGGCTTAAAATTTTCAGAGATTTTAGTGCTTTATTTGAATATATTAGATTAATTGAAATCCTGGTGCATTACTTGAAAATGACCAAGATCGTTTTATTGATCATAAAAAAGCTAGTTTGATAGCCTATAATTTTTTGATAATTTGGTATTGTTTTTTTTTAATGGGAAATATATGATACCAGAAAGACGGTATCGAAAGAAATTTGACCAATCAAAACACCCCGTGAATTTGACGAAACCACCTGATTGGTCACCTTTTTTATGTTACTGGATGATTTTTTTTTTTTTTTAAATTTGTGATACTGATTGATTGGCTATAAATTTTTCGGTATAATGTTTTTGTGGAGAACCCTTAAGACCAGATTAATTAATTGTGGATATTTTTTTGAAAGGTTGAGATTAATGCGCTATTCTTAAGTGCCGCTTTGATGACCCAACATTTTCCATTAATTTACATAAATTCGAATGGCCTATTTTTGTAGCTTAATACATCAATTAAAAATACTGTTAATTAATAATTTCAGTGTTTTAATAAATACTTTTGATTGATTAATAATATTTTAATTAGTAAAAATACTATTGATTTCTAAAAGTATTACAATTATTATTAATACTATAAATTTTAAAATACAGTAATTATTATTATTACTCCCCCCCTCTCTCTCTCTTAAATGTCTTTTCTAAATGTAATAATAACATGCATTAAAATAAAAGACCTTAGAAAATCCAAAGGTTTCTCTCTCTAATAGTGTGCCGCTTTATTAATCTAATCAAGATAAGCAATAATTACTTTTTTATATTTTTAAAACAAAAAAAAATATGAAAAATGAATAAAAAGTGAGAAAATAGATAAATAGCTTCTCTCAAAAGTAATTTTATTGCTTATATTTTTTAATTTTTGATAATTATCATATTTATTGGAAATAATGTTAATCCATTTTTAGTAATTTCATGGATAATTTTTGGTAATTATGACAAATTATTGGTACTTTATTTAAATATAATTTAAATATCAATACTTTTAATTACAGTTTAAAATTTAACTATATTACTTATAGTTTCAGATATAATTTAAATATTATTTAAATTATAAATTACATTAATTGTAATTTAAAAAAGTATTTACGAATGAATTAATAAAAAATATCAATATTTTTTAATAAATACAGTACTTTAATAAACACTGTTAATTAATAAATATTGTAATTAACAGTACTGCAATTATTGAAAATACTGTAAAATACAGTTAATAATATTGTTGTTATTTAAAATACTGTTAATAAAAAATATATTATTTTTAATAAATAATGCTAATCAATTAAAATACTGTATATGTTAAAAATGTTTTAATTATTAGATGCACTCTATTAATTAAAAATACAGTTAATCAATAAATTCAGTATTTTAGTAAATACCTTTTATTAATTAATAATATTGCAAGTAGTAAAAATACTGTATTAATTAAAAGCACAGTTAATACTATTAATTAA